CACCTGATTCAGATCATCTCGTTAGAAGTGAGCTCCGTGCATGAACTGTGTTCCTATCGATATGATCCCTACACAGTGTTCATTGCTCCCTACTCCCTGAGCGGGGGAAATCCGTTTAAGTTTACTTCACTTGCTGAACATGGGCTGGAATTGGGAACCGCTGATGTAGCCTATTGTAGTAATGTTGTCTGGTCTGTGAGCGTAAATGCGTTCAGGGGGCGTGGCTTTGGACAGCGATTGCAGGGAGGCTAAAGTTAGCATTTTCCAAGATCTCCTACTGAAACTTTAACACCTAATTTATATAAGACACTGTTATTTATCTTTAATCTCTTATTGAATTAACATTTTACTTCAATTAACATTAATCAGAACAAAACATTTAAAGCTATTAAAGCTGTTCTGTTAAATTATCCCTTTGCCATAATGAAATTTACTAGTTCTTGCATCGAATACAGAGTTTAACTGACTAGTATTAGTAAGAAGGTCAAAACAAGTAAACCCATGGTCCTCATTACCATGGTTTATGGTTTTTAAAATAAATAATAAGTAATAATAAACTATGGAATTTGTAAAAAAAAAAAAAAAACCTTGAAACTACAAAAGACCTTATATAAAAGTAAAATATCCCGCAATATTTAATTTATAATAAATACATTTCTACCAAAACACAATAGGCTATTTGTACAGTGTGAATAACGTCAAGTTTGTAATTGCAAGCTTGTAATTATGCATGGGCGTTTTCCAATTTACCGCGTCATGCAGTTTATTATCGTGGCTGTTTTCAGCCACAGCCAGCATAACAGTGGCGGATGACCGAGTAGCGCCGCTTCACATTTTTGGAGTTTTGCGCTGTAATATAAAAACAGCGCCTTATATGAGAGATGTCTCCCTCGCTTCGGCGATCGGCCCACTGCTCTACGGGTGCTCCCAAACGGCCAGTACAGGGCCGCTGCTGGCCAAATGGGTGTCCTAAGCAGAATAGTATTGTTGTGCCCCCTCCTTCAAAAACAAAAAACAAAAAACAAAACCTACCATTAGGGGTCAAAATAGAACTTTAATAAAATATAAAAGTAAATAAATAAATTGTAATTAAATTTTATTATTTATAAATTACAATTGTAGCTCTAGACACCCAGATAGCAAGCAGACGTTGATTCAACGTCGATTTTTGGTTGTAACGGTCAGAATCGGTCGTCAATCAAATTTCGATGTTGAATCAACGGTCACTATTTGGTCGGAACATCAGAACGTTATTTCGCCGAAAACAAAACATCGATTCAACGTCGAAATCCCGTTGACTCATCAACCGACACAGCCGACGCCTCTGATCGAAACCATAATGTCTGATATAGGTTAAATGGGGGTTGAGTGTTTGTAAAAAAAAAAAAAGCACCAAATCTTAAACTATAAAACTTAAACTTGTTATACTTTTATAAAAACTTAAACTTTTTATACTTTTATACTTATTATGACTATAAAAGTGCTGTTTTGTCTGACTATCACGTGCAGGGGTGGCATTTTTCACCTATGAATGGGTCATAGAACTACAAAAAAAAACTTAAATGGATGATTTAATAATAATTTAATTAGATTTAAGTTATTTACGAAATCTGTATATTTTATTTATGTAAATTTTGCGTGTTTTAATGAGCGCGCGCTGAACTTTGGAGTAGCAATCAAACACTGGAGCGGAGGGAGTTGCCATGGAAACGGGGCGACTGACAAGCTGCACGCTCCGTCTCTCTGCTGTTTTCACCGCTTTCGGTAAGTTAAGTCCATTTAAATCGCACAAATATCATATGCAACTGTTTCTGACACTTCTCTTGCTTGTATTTGACCCGCTTCTGTTGAATTTACTTCATAGAAATGGTTTAGTGTCTTCGAACAAGTCCGTTAGCATCTACCGTTTTCAGAGGAGGTATGCTAACTCCATAGACTGAACTCTTTATGAAAGTGTGGGATTTTAATAACATATTTATGTGTAGATGAGAGGCTTTGACAGTTCTGTAAAAGTTTTGCTGGTAATTTTTCAATGGGTGATTGGAAATAGGCTTTTTTTTTTTACCGTAATTTAACCTAAATATACACTAACGTTACCGTTAATCGGTGACGTCATTACATCAGCGATGGGTACAGTTCAAACGCATTTTGATCTCGTCTCATGGTAAACAAATATTGTTAAAAACTGTTCAGGATATTTATTAAATACATATTCTTTCTCTTTTCTACATTTCACCTGTGCTCTAGCTTGGTTCCTTGTGATAAAACTGGCATTGTATACTGAATATTGTTGGCTCTGTGACAAATTGCTTGTTATATTTCTAGATTCTTACATGCTTGATGGCCTTCTGCATCCCAGAGTCTGAGCAAACCTCCTGTCAGACAACATCTCCAAGACACACTGAACCGTATGGCTAGCAAGTTAACCCCAAACATACACTAATGTACAAAATTCAGATTTTTTAAAAATGTTTTTGAAAATTTGTCTTTTATGCTTACCAATTTCTGAAAAAATCTGATAAAAAAAGTAAAAACAGTAATATTGTGAAATAATATTACAATTTAAAATAGCAGTTTTCTGTAAACCAGTCTTCAGTGTCACATGATCCTTCAGAAATCATTCTAATAGGCTGATTTACTGCTTAAGAAACATTTATGATTATTATCAATGTTGAAAACAGTTGTGCTGCCCAATAAATAAATATATATGTATATATATAGAGAGAGAGAGAGAGAGAATTATTTGATGAATAGAAATTTCTTATTTATTTGCAACAGAAGTCTTTACACTCACTTTTGATTAATTGAATGCATCGTTGCTGAATAAAAATATGAATTTCTTTAATAAAATGTAGTGTACACTACCATTCAGAGGTTTGGGGTCTATTCATGGGTTTCAGTCACGTTACTATTTTTGTTGCGGCCGCCATCTTTAGGACCTTGCATAGCCTCTCCTTGGTGATCAGAAACCAAGATAACACTTAAACAACAACGGAAAACAATCGTATTAAAAAAAAAAAAATAGACACTTTAGGATTAGATCCTTATTTACTGTCAAGCGAACTGCTGACTCCACTAAAGTCTAGTGAAAACTTACCAACTTGACGTCTGCTGGCTATTTACCTCTACCTCATACACAATCCCTCTCCATACTCTCGGGCCATTTTCAGTTAAATTTTCACCTGTTAGAGACTTGTCCATTGGCCCGGATCCATCTGCAGCACCCGGTCTGGATGCTTGCGTACTCACTTTCAGATTCTGGGCCGAATCAACTGGACCAGATGCGACGGCCGTAACTTGCCGACACTATCGCATCCAAGCCAGACTCGCCAGACTTAGCCCAGTTTCATTTCTAATGTACTGTTCATTAATATTTTATTTAAAATTAATAACGTTACCTAGACAAAACGTTTACTTTCATTTTAATTATATAGATTATAATACATAAATAACATGACTTAACAAATCTATAAACATCTCATTATTATGAAAGCAATTTTAAAGTCCATTAAATAACTAGCTTGACCAAGATGGCATGAGGAAAATTTATTTACAAAACTATTTATTTACAAAAACATGCAATTACCGCAAAAAAGCAGCAGTTATACAATTTATATGTGATGAAATAAATCATCTTTTGTGTGAAATATGAACAGCAGCTATGCTAATCTTTCTCCTTTTGTTTTCCTGTTTCTATCTCGGGATGCCCATCCCAAGGTTACTAGAGATTACGCCAGTTCCAGTTTGGATCCAGCCTCGCTTGTGAAGACTTCAGAAGATGCCAACACTCAAAGATTTCAGATGATGACAAACTATAGATGAACATGCAAAGCTGCCGAATAATCCTTATATTGTAATCGTTGCCCTAAAAGGTAAGTTTGCAGATTTTTAACCAGCTTAGTATTGTTACAGTTTTGGTAATACAGTGTTTCCCACAGGATTTTGTGAGACTGGTGGGTAGACCTCTGTCCCTCTAGAGGGCTTTTCACACTTGAAATTGTTAACCCTGGGTCATTCTAAACACCAGATAAACGGAATCCTGGGTTATCTGTAATCACGCTTCACACTGCTCATACTATACCTGGGGTTAACTGTTGATCCTGGGTATTCATTAACAGACGTTTCACACTGTACATTCCTAAAAAAACGAGTGCTTTTTTAAAAATAAATACTTTTATTCAACAAGGACAATTTAAATTGATCAAAAGTGGCAGTAAAGACATTTATAATGTTACAAAAGATTTTATTTCAAATAAATGCTGATTTATTTGAAATATTATTTATGCTGAAATGCTGAAAGTAAAATCATGATCATGATGAAAAGTATCATGATTTACACAAAAATATAAAGCAGAACTTTTTTTCAATATGGATAATAATAAGAACTGTTATTAATGATTGAGCACCAATAATCATAACAGCAGCAAATCAACATATTATAATGGTTTCTGAAGGATCATGTGACACTGAAGACTGGAGTAATGATGCTGAAAATTCAGCTTTGATCACAGCAATCAATTAAAGTTTAATAGATTAACTATTGGCAGAGCAGGCAGTTGACCTCTGCATTATGAAGGGCCTCCATAATTGTACCAAAGTACAATATAGGTAATGGCATATGTTTCATGTTTACATTGTGCACTCCCCACCAGGTACAATATTCTGATTGTTTGTATCTTGTTTTTAAGCCCATAAATAATAATGCACTCATTCTAATACATTTATATTGTAATGTACTCATTCTAATATATTCAAAAATCATATTTACATTGCTGGTAGGTTATATTTGCACAAATGAACACACTCTCTATGATTAAAAAATAAAAATAAAAATGAGAAGAGTTCTAAACGAATGCGCTGTCTTCTGTATCTAACGCGCACACACTCAGTCACTCATGCAGATCACGCTGCGGCCACACTCAGACATTCAGGAACATCATATTTTATCAATAAAATAGCTTAATCGCTCATGAGTTACATTATCTTTCTCAACAAGGAGCTGGTAACATCGTTGTTTCTAAAGGAATTAAAGCCACAGCTTTACTGTTAATAAAGAAATGCGGCAAATCGGTGGTAATTCATACTTACACAGCCTCTCTCATAAATGAACACTCGATGAATTACAATTTTCTGGCAACCCAGTTGTGTTCCTCTGCGGCCAGATTAAACCTTGTTGTAGCCTATATATGCTCTAGTCATTCTTTTTTAGAAACCTCGCACTTCTACTCAATTTAAAACGTTGTAAAATTTTAAACAAATTCAGCGTGGTCCACTGCTGCACACGTGCCACAATATCGATACAGGGCCAGCTGTATCGATACTCATATCGTCAAATCTCTGTGACGATACATCATCGTATCGATGTATCTAACACAGCACTAGAATGTAACAGGTTTAGCCCAAGGACAGGATCAGGATCTTGTGTGTTAATTTTTTTTTTTACCAATATTGCGATTGCGATTTAATATGCAATTATTTTTTTAAAGCTCTTTATGTTCTGTATTATTCAACAAAGACGAGCTATAAATCATTGTATAGTATGCCCAACACACTATTAGATGGATTAAACATAAATGTTATTTTCTGTAGGCCAGGCCTATATGTTAAGATGAAATTAGGTGATGCATGAATTGATATGAATTATTTTTATTTAACAACTACAATCACAGTACATTGACTGATTTGTTGAACTTCCAACCTTGTAAGCATGTAATAATTATGTTTAAATAAGCCTGGTGTAAACAATATGAAAGTCAGTAACAAATCACACAAACTAAAGTAGATTGCAGAAATATAAAAACAAATCTGTTGCTTTACCACACTACTTTAGGTAATTCAAAGTCACTGTAATAAACATATGTAAACATGTGCACTGCACTAAACACTGTCTGTTAACTTTAAACCAGTGGTTCTCAAACGTTTTTGGTCGCACCCCCCTTTAAACCTATAAAAAAAAATCTGGCCCCCTTTCCCGAATCCCCATTCCACCTCGGACTACCAAATAATATCACTAAACATTACGAAAAATGTATCGAATCCCCATTCCACCTCAGAGTACCAAATAATTTCACTAAACATTATGACAAATTTATACTTTTTTAATTTAAAAAACCTACAGGGAAAAAAACACCTGCATCACTTGAAACATTGAAAAATAGCATAGAGAATAACTTATTATTATTCTCTCGCTGTTATTTATTTATTTATTTTTTTGTGGGTTTCATGCTGTCCGCTAAGGCATAGGACACATAGGCTTTCCTGTGCGGCGTGACGCGACATGTGTAGCGTCTGGTATAGACACGGTGAGTGAAGCCGAGAGCAAGATATGTCTCGTCATATTTTCAGCATTTAGCTTTTGAATGGCCAGCCACCTGCCTGGGTCTGTGCGACTTCATCTATATCTTCAAGTGGAACACACCTCTTCACTCTCGCGTGTCACGTGACCCTTTAATCGCAGCCTCTGCGATTGAAAAATCGCGTTATTTGATATCGCGATATTATCGCAAATGCAATTAATCGTTCAGCCCTAATCGATATTTTGAACACAGCACTACAATACAGTCAGTCAAACATATGGAAAAAACACACTGCTCAGTTTAAATATATAGTATAAGTGCCGTTAAGCGTTATCACCGTACCGCCGTGAATGATGTTATGCAAACCATTTAGTTTTACGTGGATATTGGAACGCCAGTGAAGTAAGCTACATAATAAATAATATTTTGGCATTCAAATACATCGCGAATACGGAAACATTTGATTTTGTGTCGAATGAGAGACACAACGTTGGTTTCAGTTTCGTTTTAACCTAAATTAATTTGTTTTGGCTTGTCGTTTAGCTATAGCTTCTTATATTTTTAATTCTTGTTCTTTTCTAAATACTGTTAATTGAAAGGCTTTGTTGTGGAGTGAGGGGAACTAAAATAGCCTAGCTATCTTTACAGTGTTTATTATAATGTTTGTAAACATTTCGTGTCGGCATGATGCAAAACATTTTGTTTTACGTGGATATTGGAACGCGAGTGAGCTACATAATAAATAATATTTTGGCATTCAAATACATCGCGAATACGGAAACATTTGATTTTGTGTCGAATGAGAGAAGCAACATTGGTTTCAGTTTCGTTTTAGCCTAAATTAATTAGTTTTGGCTTGTTGTTTAGCTATAGCTTCTTATATTTTTAATTCTTGTTCTTTTCTAAATTAGGGATGCTCCGATCCGCCTTTTTCGCCTCCGATACCTAGGGTTCGGTATTGGCCGATACCGATACCAGTGAAGTTTTTTTCCCTCATTTAA